ATGAAAGGAAAGACTGATTTAAGTACATTAAAATTTTTTCTATGGTATAAATATTACAAAATAAAATAAAATGTATTATAAAATTTCAATAGTTAAAATGTTGTGTTACTGGCAATATCATCCGGCAGATTGGTAGCATAGAATACCCAAGTCTAATATGGTCTAGAGCCATGTATATTTAACAATTTAGTATATATTAAAGATGAATATTCCAAACTGTGTTTAATCTATTGTTCAATAAATGATATTGAAGAAGTGGCCAATTACTTGGGAAAAGATAAAGGTAGATTCCTACTTTATATTTTATATCAAAATAAATAATTGTATTTAAAGATTTCTGCATAAATAATTAATCTTATAAAAATACTAACAGAAAAATATAGCTGAATATGTGCATTTGACTGCTAACCAGAAGGCTGGCAGTTCAAACCCAGCAGCTGCTTCTTGGAAGGAAGACTGGGCAATCTACTTCCATAGAGATCCAGCCTGGGAAACCCAAAGAGGGGTCACTATGAGTCAAATTGACTTGACGGCAGTGAGGTTTTTTTTTTTTTTTGGCATGTACATATGTACATATGTGCACATGTGCACACACACAAACTTATATATAAGTTTTGAGCAGATAGGTTATATATATATTATTTGTGAGGGGAAGATAGAGAAGGGTTTCCTATGAGTGACATCAATGGCTTAACCCATGAAAGAAAAGACTGATTTAAATACATGAAAATTTTTTTCTATGGTATAAATATTACAATAAGAAAAGTGAAAATGAAAACTACTATTTCATAATTTAAATGGTACGATAGTTATGGAATGGTTTACATAATATGAACACAATTTTCTAATAATACACTCATACACACACACACATGCACAGAGCACATATGTGTATAAAGGAACACTTTGAAACGATAGAATCTAAAATGTTACTGGTATTTGTACCTAAATGCTGAAATTTGAGTGACTTTATTTGTATGCTTCTCAGTCTTTTCTAAGTGTTCTACAGTGAGTATGGATTACTCCATATAAAATAAAGAAATATAGTAGAAAAATTCATGGAATGACAAATGAATTTAAAATGTACTGAGTTAAGCTGAGGTTTTTTCTATATTTTTTGAAAAGATAACACTTACTATGCTTTTCTTTGTTGTTTATTAGGGTGAAGAAGGTGACCAGGGAGAACTGGGAGAAGTTGGAGCTCAAGGACCTCCGGTAAAGTATTTTTTAAAGAATATTTAACTGGAATGTAAAATCAGCCTTTTTTTTCATGAGTCTTATAATATTTTCAATTTAGCATTTGGATTAATAGCATTACATTCACATGACAGTCTCTATTTTTCCACCAAGCAAGCTTTGGGAGATTTTCATAATTTTAAAATAGGAGAAGTTTCCCATTGTACATTCAAGCATTTGAAAATTTCTACCTATAATTACATATATCTATTTACTAAATTCTTGAACCAGGCAATCTGAAAGTAAATATTGAGCACAAGAGGATATATAAATCTTTTTTTGTTCTATAGTACTATCATGTAATAGGAGAAAATTTTGTGTACCCTAAATATGCAGTTTTAGCATCCATTGAATTAATGTAGCTTATGCCAGTATGCAGTTGTAATTAGAGCCATTTAAATTGTGTATAATCATGCCTCTTAATAAAATATTAGTCCTTTGTGCTTTGCCATACTGCTGCAATAATATATACAGTAAACTAATTTGGGACATCAGAGTACTTCAATTTAAAATATTTGTTCAGTCAGAATTTACATTATTTTTATACTATATGAAAGTGGAATTGTTAAACCTTTTTTGTTGTTGTTGTCAAAATGAATAATAATAATGATGGGAATAATTGTTGTTGAATATCCATTTCTGCTAGTCAAGGTATGGACCATATAAAAGACAAGCTCAGATCCTATTCTCAGAAACTGAAGAGTTGGGGAAAATAAATATGCAGTACCCTTGAGTTGCTCTGCTCTTTCCCATACAGTGCGACCTTTAAAAAAGTGTTCAGAGAACTTTGAAGATTAAGGTTTATTTAGAGCTTAGGCGAAATCAGGGTAAAAGAAGTAAGTTACAGAATCTGGAAGAAATGGTCCCTGCTTTTAAACTGTGTGTGAACTTTTAGGTGCTTGTTCAGGGTGCTTATTCCCGAAGCTTGTCTTCCCTGAACCTTTAGATATGAGTCAGTAAGGAGCTGGACACTATTTGAATAGTGGGAGATAATGATAAACACTGGCAGGAACCAGTGTTATTTTTTAAGTGATGAAAATTTGGTAGGAGCTTAAATTATTTTTTAAGCCATTCCTAAAGACCTTCAGGACAGGATTTTGCAATTAACATTTTAAAAAATATTTTCATGGACTAAGGATCTATATTGGAAATTACATAGCTCATATGGTCTACTGGGGGATATTTGTTAGTGCTTACTGACCTCCTGGTGTTTGGGAGTGGGTATATCAAAATGGTTCTGCAAAATTTACTGATTTTTACTTTTTAAGTATACATGCACTTATAAGGAGCGCGGGTGGAGCAACAGTTAAAGTGCTTGACTGCTAATCGAAAGATCAGTGGTTCAAAACTACTGGTGGTTCTGTGGGACAAAGATGTGGCAGTCTGCTTTTGTAAAGATTAGGCTTGGAAACCCTGTGGGGCAGTTCTAATCTGTTATTTAGAGTCACTATGAGTCAGAATTGACTTGATAACAACAGAGTTTATAAAGTAAAGCACAAATTTTTAAAAATGTGCTTCTGGGAACATTTGTATGTAAGCTCTGTCCTTCAAAGTAGTGACTTGAGAAACTATGCATGATGTTCTTATGTCATTGCTATTAACCCAAATATTTTTAGAAGTCTTCTTGTAGAATTACCTTCTGAATCAGTAAATGAACTACACACACAAAAAAAGATAAATGAACTACACAAAGAAGAGCAGCTTTAGTCTGATATGGCCACTTTTCACTTTTTATTCTAATTGGATATCCTAAGCTGGATAACCCTGAACATTAAAATTTCTAGTGGTTCCTGATTGCTTTACACATAATTTGTGACTGACCTGCTTCAACAGTTGGTTATTGAATTGCCTTCTTTTTCTCCTTGCAAAGAACATGAAGGAACTAACAAGCCTAGAGCTACTTTATCTTAATTCAACGTGGACAATTAGCAAGTTGTCCAGCAGTATCTATTCTTCTTTCTGATGGAGTATTCACCTGCCGCTTCTCCCAAAAGAGAACCCACGCTCACCCTTTATAGGATCCATTTCTGAAGCCCTACAGCTGGGGAGCCTGAGTGTCAAGAATGGTGGAATGTCAGTATTGAAAGGGATTCTAGAAATTGCACTTGTGTCCTGCAATTTTGATGATTATCCATTTGGTGCCTGGGATGAAATGAGATGAGTTCTTACTGCTCTAGATTGGAATTCATAAAGTTGGAATGGATAGTGACTACAAGTGGTTGATGTAGACTACAGCTTTATTTATAAGTCATAAGCTTTTGTGAGCTAACTTGGGAACCTAATTGTCATTGATGGCAAAGGTAGGGAAAAGTTATTCCAAGGTATAAAGTCACCAAGTTATGAATGATGAAAAAGGTGGGAATGGTAGTGTAATTTGTGTATGTGCTTTAAAAGATAAATCAAATACATGATCACAATCTCTCTTATGCTAATGATACGTTTTTGTTATCAATAAGTGAGTCAACTCCAGGTTTGTACAAGTCTTTAGATGTTTTAAAAAGGATTTTACTGTCAAAAGAATTCATGTTGGACTTTTTTTTTTTTTTTCTAAAGTAGAAGAGTTTGTTTAGTATTGATGTTTCCTAAGAAGCTCTGATAGCACAGCACCTAAGGCACTTGACTGCTAACCAGGAGGCTGGCGGTTCAAACCCACCAGCCACTCCATGGAAGGAAGGTTGGGGAATCTACTTCTGTTGTGATACTGCCTCAGAGACCCAAGCAGGGGTTGCTATGAGTCACGTCTGACTAAACAGCACATAACAACAACAACGTTTCCCAGTGTTATTTTACTTATGTTTTGTTCTTCTTCTGATCAGCTTTGGTGATGAGATATGACTATGTATTTCAACTAAAATAATTCACTTTTTTTTTAAAATGTTTCTAGGGAGCTCAAGGTCTGAGAGGCATCACTGGCATAGTTGGTGCCAAAGGAGAAAAAGTAAGTGGATGACTATGATAATATAATACACAAATATATTAAGTATTTGAATTTTTGTCCATGTAAAAATAGCTTCTCAACAACTCTTTTTTTTCCCGATATTTTGTCGGTATGTGTGGTTCAGTTCTTGTGTTTCTGCCAAAAGCACAGATGATAGAAATGAGGCGTTCACATGATATTTGCCATGTATTATATATTTTAAATTATCTTGGGTAAATTAGAGTAAGTTGGGTTGTTATATTTTATCTCTTCTAGTTAGCATTGCTAATGACTTTTATTTGATTAACATAGAAAATCCTTTAGTCAGGCCCACAGTGCCTGGAGTGCATCTGGCCAAGGAAGGTAATGAGAGGAGAGAATGGAAAAGAAGATGTGAAGAAGGTGGGATACCCCTAATGACACTGGGGCCATCCATGCTTACCTTCCAACTTGATTGCTGAGCCCTAAACTTGACAGGGGTAATACACATGTGGCTAGAGTATATCAACCCACCCTAAGTCTAGTCTCAGAGATTAATGTAGCACTTCCACAAAGATGCACTGTGCAAGAAGCTGGAAAGATTCAAAGAAGCTTAAGACCTGGTCTTTATTGTCAGCAAGTTTGTTGTTTATTGGGAGAGACAAACAAATAAATCACTACCTATAATGCAAGCAGGAAAGAGACAAATCTCAGGGCAAGTAGTATAAGGGAGTACAGATGACTGGCTAATCTTGATTGAGGAAATTGGGAGGATTTATGGAGGAGGAAATGTCAGAAGGACGCTTAGCCTGGAAGGATGAGGAATGTTGCTCTTGGTGGAGGATGATGGGAAGATAATGGTTGAATGAGTATCATAAGCAAAACTGTGGAAACCTGAATACTTATGATACTTTCTGATTTGTTTTACAGTGTGTGTGTGTGTGTAGGGGTATGTCTAAATTTCTCTGTCATATTTTAAGAAAACGGTTACCACTTCTTAGAATGTGTGTTAGGAAAGCAATTTGTATGGCCCAGAAAACAAAACATTGTCTTTACTCACCATAACCTCTGACTCTGCCCTCATTCTTATCAGAGACTCTGTATAATTTGTGCCAGCCCTACATAGGACATAGCATTTCATTAACAAATAAATAAGAATAACTTGTATACTGTAGGTGCTCAGTAAATGAAATTAAATCTTTTTTTGAAGAGGTGCACATTTCAGTGAATTGAAGCCCTGGCTTGTTTACCATTCTTTCCTTCAGCTTCAGTTTTCTCAGACTCTTTGTCTGTTATAGTTATTTTTATTCTACCTGCTATCCTCTCCCATCTTCTCTAGGCTATTTCTTTTCTTATAAGCATATTAGATTTATTCATATTTCTAGATTCACGTTATCTTCAATAACATTCTGTGTATATCTATTCCTTTATTAAATAATAAATCCCATTTATTTTGAAACTGCTGGTACACAGGCCTTCACTTTTTCTGGGTTTAAATCATCCCCTAAAAGATATGACTCCTTAGTTTGAAACCAATTACTATTCTTGATAGACTCTTTATTTGAGATATTTTTCTACTTGGTACTTTTCAAAATTTCTCATTTCCTCTGATTTCTGTCAAATTGCTTTTTGGGGATTGGTGGAAACCCAACCTCTTCTTGTGAACTCAGACCCATGTACTAGTTACCTAGTAACAGTGATGTAAGTCTGAGCTTGTGCTGAACAGCAATAAGAGAGAGTGAGTGCATCAAAGAGATTTCTATAATGAAAAGACTGGGCTCTGCTCACGTAGCACAAGGTGAAAGATGAATTCAAGGTCTTTTTCAGGTCTTCCAAATCTCTTCTTCCCTAGTGAATTGTAGGATGCCTTCTGCTCTGTTCTAGTTCTTCGGGATCAAAGAATTTCAAGGCTCTGTGGTGCCCCTGCCTCAGTTGTGTTCTTTATTTGATTCTGCATATGTCTGAAACGTCTATCAAAGATTCTCTAATTTGCAATTCTTACTATACATGCTGCCCACCTGTTTTTTTTGGCCTGATATCTAACTAATACTCTTTTGGCTCTTTTCCAATTATTTTATAATCTCCCCATCTCAACCCTGTTCATTAGCAGACTTTCTGTTCACTTCAGTTGCCCTTCCGTTATCAGATTAACCTCACAGATGAGAAAAAGATTGAAAGCTGTGGCTGTTGAAGAGTCCATGGCAGCTGTTTTGGGTGGCTGCTATGGCCATTACCATCACAGAATTTCTGTAGGCATACTAAGAATGCCAGGAGAGTGGCTCTTCCAATAGTTTTGCCAAGTTCTCTGAATAGGTACCATTGTTTTTAGTTTGTGTAAGCAGCGTAGAATGTATGGAATGTTAAATTATCCAGAGTGGTAACAAAGATTGTATTTAAGACTTCTGGTGTGATGAATAAATATAAACTGATGTTTTTATATCTGAGGTAACTGATTAAATATTCCTCAGGTCACACTGAAATATAGAGCATATAAGACACACATGAAACATCCTTTTCATTGCTGTTCTTTAGAAAGACTGATGTGGCCTTTATCATATATGACAGACTCCATTTTATTTGTCTTTTTTTATTGCAGGGTGCTCGGGGCTTAGATGGTGAACCTGGGCCCCAGGGTCTTCCTGGTGCACCTGTAAGTGATTTTCTGTTCACAAATGTAATGATAGATTTTTGTTTTTAACAATGCAGGATTTTTTTGCTGTTTATATCTGTGTGGAAGTGCATTTTACAAATGAATCATTAAAGTGAAAAAGCAGGTAATAGTACTTTATTTGTCTTAAAATTTTCTTAATTAAGATAAGTGTCTCTCTTTGGGTACAGAGAAATGTTCTTTTGACTTGATTTGTGTTTTTGTTTTTCTCATAAATTGAGTCAAATTGTTAAGTATTGATGTTTGCTATGTTTTCCTTTTGTTTTGGTTGCCAGAAAGCTTAGAGTCACAGTAACCAGTTTATTCTTAGTATCTGGGGAGTTATATCCTCCTTTTCTCTGGTTTCTGATCTCAATATTCCATATTTTGACTGCCATATGTACCTGTGTTCCTATTGTAGGCAGCTGTACGTCTTTTTTGGAAGACAAAAAAAAAAAAGCCATTCACTAATAATCACCTATAAACCAAAACAAAACCAAACTTACTACTGTCGAGTCAGATGCTACTCATAGCAACCCCTCCTTGGGTTTCTGAGGCAGTATCATTATGGAAATAGATTGCCCAACCTTCTTTCTCAGGAGTGGCTGCTGGGTTTGAATCGCCAGTCTTCTGGTTTGCAGTCAAATGCCTTAGGCACTATGCTATCAGAGCTCCTATACCACATAAAAAATACATAAGGTAAAGATAAAATAGAATCTCCAATTGTTAAGGCCTTTATGATTCCATGGAAAAGACAGAATGTAACTAAGTGATGCCTTATGTAATCAAGGCTAAAGCATGTGGTAAAGGTAATCCATGCAAAAGAGCCCAAGAGGAAGATTGGGCTAGAAAACAATTCTGAGATGGGAGAGGCAGCAGAGAGCACAGGTGGCAAGAGATATTGTTGGCGGTGATGTGTGCGAATGCAGTATCAAAGGGGTTGTCGCTGCCTGGAGTGGAAGGTTTGTGCTGAGGAGAATGAATGGTAATTCAGAACACATTATGAACACTAAATGCCTATTGGAGCAGTTTGAACTGATCCAGTAGAAGTAGAGAACCAATCCAGGTTTTAGAATATTTAAGCAAAAACAACGAAAGCTCTATGTTAGGAAGGCACATTGTCTCATCTATTACCATTTATGCCATATTTCAACAGTAGCCAGATAATTTTGACAGAAACCAGTATAATTGACTGGGGAATTTAATAGAGGGCAATGATTGTTAAGTAATCTAAACCTCAACCCCCCATAATATTCAATGAGGTTCAGTTATATGTAGATGTAGTTACCGATGCCAAGGTTACCTGCAGTGTGGACTTTTAGCTTTATATGTGGACATCTAAAGAGCACAGAGGCCTATACATCCTATATTTTGTGTTGAAATAAAAGCAAAAGTTATGTGGGTCTTAATTGCCCCTATGGCAATATGGGAGCTCTGGTAGCACAGTACCTAAGGGATTTGACTACTAACCAGAAGGCTGGTAGTTCAGACCCACCAACCACTCCTTGGAAGGAAGATTGGGCAGTCTATTTCTGTACAGACATTGCCTCGGAAACCCAAGGAGGAGTCGCTATGAGTCAGATCCGACTCCACAGCAGTGAATTTGGCTTTTTTTTTGGTTTATCATTATGGAAGTAGATTGCCCAATCTTGAACCACCAGCCTTCTGGTTAGCAGGCAAATGCCTTAAGCACTATGCTATCAGAGCTCCTATGTAGATGGTGCTTTATTATTTTTAAAAGAGTCATTCAATAAATAATTTTTACTTATGTTTTATTTTCTTACAGGGTGACCAAGGACGGCATGGACCTCTAGGAGAAACAGGTCCCAAGGGAGATAGAGTGAGTTCATATCAGTTTTAATCACTATAAGCATTACGCTTTTCAGTGTCATCTGCTGATTATGCTTACGTGTTTCACATACCTGTATTATCATTATTGAGCCCATCTTGTCTGTCCTTTTTCCCTTCTGTCCTGAAGGGGGCTCAAGGTTCCAGAGGGATTCCTGGCCTCCCTGGGCCCAAAGGAGACACGGTAGGTCCTGAGCTATAACCATCAAGCACATTTTTTCAAAATGGTTACTAATTTGTACTAAAACTTTAAAATATAATGAAGGGAAAAAGAATGTGACTGTTTCTAAGGGACAGTGTGTTTCTTTGTGTGTCTCTAGGGCTTGCCAGGTGTGGATGGCCGTGATGGGATACCTGGGATGCCAGGAACAAAGGTAGCTGTGTGATTTAGTCCAAGAGTGAATGCCCTGTCTTGGCCCTGACCAGCTGAGCATAGCATTTCCATTACTCCATTACCAAGAGATCTATTTTTAGTCACCTTTTGGCCTTTTTTCTCCTTTTAATTTTTAAATCAAGTGCCAAATACAAAATACTTATTAGAATAGTATATTTATGTGCTCAGCTTCAGGACATTGGCAAAATTGCCCCATTGATGAAAATAGGCTGAGGAAAATTGTGAATTTTGATTGAATTTATGTTCTATGTCCGGCTCCCAACCCCTACCCTGAGCTGGGTCACATTATAAAGGTACACATAAGGTCACCTGTTGGGATACACCTTTTACCAAGAGACTTTGTGCCCTCCTCTTAAAAGATGTACAGCAGTTCATTCAATGGTGTGACGAAAACTTTTATTTCAGGGTGAGCCAGGAAAACATGGGCCTCCTGGTGATGTAGGATTGCAGGGGTTACCTGTAAGTATTTGGTTCTTTAAATGTCTGTTAGTTTATATACATGTTTTGAAGATAAGAAATTTGGGGAAAGACATGTTACATAATTTAATACCTTCTGGAGAAGATAAGAGGAGCTCTTGTGGCATAGGGGTTAAGTGCTAGGCTTAACTGAGAGGTCAGTGGTTCGAACTCACCAGCTGCTCTAAGGGAGAAAGATGTGGCAGTCTGATTCTGTAAAGATTATAGCCTTGGAAACACTGGGAAATACAGCAGTTCTGCTGTGTCCTTTAGTGCCTAAGGCACTTGACTCTTAACCAGAAGACTGGTGGTTCAAACCCACCAGCCACTCCTTGGAAGGAAGGTTGGGCAATCTACTTCCATAGTGATACTACCTTGGAAACCCAAGGAGGGGTCGTTATGAGTCGGGGCTGACTTGACGGCACATAACAACAACAATAACATGAGTTGGAATCCACTTGAGAGCAGTTTGTTTTTTTGAATGATATACTTTAATTTTACATTTTTGTATCTTTTCTCTGAAGGGTTAAGCTTAAATTTTATGTTTTAAATCTCTCTTTGCTCTCTAGTCTGTTCAGTCTTGATTAGTGTCTTTTACTAACCCAGAAGTGTGGGGCAGGGTCATATACTTCCTCCTACTTATGACCATTTCTTGAGTTCTTTTCTGTTAGCAGAGTTGAGCCACAAGAGGGTCAGAGGTCTTCTCAGAGAACAATGTGAGATATATCATGTTTAAATTATGTACTTACATACTGTTTTTCAGTCAAATTTTTGTCTCCCTGCATGAATTGGGCTGGAAACTCATGCAAATTGTGCCGTTTATGTTCTTAGTTCTTTGAAGGCAGATATTTCAAGTTAATAAAGGATATTTGGTAATATTGAGGACTGAGCTCATATCTAACACTTTTTGAACAATCAGTTGCAGAAAATTCAGATTCCCAATAGTATCAAATAGGCCCAGCATTCTCCTGTCATCTCTTTTTTGACTGTAAGGCCCAACATCCTCTATAGGTTCTATTTTGTTATTCTGTACATGAAACCATACCATGTATCTATAGTGTCTGTGCTGATAGTAAAAGCTCCTGTTAACTTGGAAATGGTGGTTGTTGTTGTTGTTGTGTGCCGTCGAGTTGGACCCGACTCATAGTGACCCCTCCTTGGGTTGCTGAGGCAGTATCACTACAGAAGTAGATTGCCCAACCTTCCTTCTGAGGAGTGGCTGGTGGGTTTGAACCGCCAGCCTTCTGGTTAGCAGTCAAGTGCCTTAGGCACTATGCTACCAGAGCTCCTTTGGAGATGGTACAGGATTCTAATTTGGAAGTTTACCCTTTGAAAAATAGCATTAGTTAGATATAGGCCTTATTAACAAGGCAGATACACTAATTCTGTAATTAATGGCTCAGAGTTGGGGAATGAGGAAGACTGCCCTTCACACTAATGCCTTGAGGTCATCATATTATCATAGTTCCCTCAGTCTTGCAGCAACATTCAGCAGGCTTGTTGTCTCGTGGATTCTCAGTCTGGGTGATTAAACCATACTCTGCATATTTTTTTTAGGGTGTTCCTGGAATTCCCGGTGCAAAGGGCATTGCTGGTGAAAAGGTAAACGATTAAAGCTTTTAAATTAATATTTATCTTTACTTCTCTATTCTTTTATTGATATATCTTATTAATAATATTTAATATTTCAACCCCTCTTTTATTTTATATTTGACCCTAAGGATAAATCAAAGAGCAAAAGCTTTATGGCTTCAAATGCTAATCTCCTTCTCGGCTGCAGGAAGAATACTGTGAAAAAGTATTGCTGATCGCACTTCTTTCATGAAAGTGCCATTCTTTGCCAGCATAAAACAGAGAAAGCTTTATTGTTCCTTACCACTTAAAATAAAGAAGATATTAAGCCATGAAATTTATGTCGGTGAATATTAAGATGATTTAACTTGAATAAAAACGTTTTACACATTTTGTTAATGTGCTGATCAACTAGTCTTATATTCTATACTGAAATAACATGTAAATAATTAAAAACAAAACAAATTAAAGGAATAAAACATAGTTTTACTTTGGAATAAAGTAGCTAAAAATATGAATAATGTAGAAATTGATTTCAGACTATATGGCTACTGCCATGTAATCATGGTGAACTTAATTAACAGTGATGGTCTTCGGTATCTTGAGTACAGATCCCTAATTAGTGGACTGTGAGCGATTGAGGGTGGAGATGGCATATTCAGACACATACTCTCCCTGTGGCTTACTAGCAGGACTTTTTTAACAGCATATCCTCCTCTTACTTACTCATGCTGACCCAATTCTTTATTATTGTAGTAATGCTGATGTGAGGTAAAAAGGGATCAAAGACATACATTGGAGGTGGAAATGTTAAAGACATGTATAATTAATACTGTGAAGAAAGAAAGTCCTTTGATTTTATTACCTGGTTGAAGAGCTTTATTTTTTGACATTTGACTTTAATATACTTCTGAGACTAACAAACAGCATCATGAATGTAAAGAACTTTGATGTATCTATGGAGAGAGAGATTCTGTATCTTCCCAATCCTCATTGTGAAATCAGGAAATTAATGCTACTTAAATCCAAGAAGTACTGGGTCTAGGTAAGGCAGGTTGATGATTACGCTTGCTTAGAGCCTGAATTACTTTGAATGTTGCATTTTACCTTTTAGGGTAACACAGGTGCTCCAGGAAAGCCTGGTCAATTGGGAAATTCAGGCAAACCGGTAAGATGCCATTTTCCCTTCCCCTAAGCTATGATCTACTGTAATCACAAAGCAAAATAGCAAAGAGAATTAACATTTTCTTGGTTTGCTCTCCTTGTAACAGGGCCAACAGGGGCAACCAGGAGAGGTGGGACCCAGAGGACCCCGGGGGATTCCTGTGAGTACTTCTCTTCTGTGGAGTTCCCAGATGCCTTCTCAGAGCTTGGCTACATGTTTCTTCCTTCATTCATACATGATTGTCTTCTGATGTTTGAGTGTACTCTAGTCCAAATGGAAGTGCTATTTAGATATATAATAGATGTTTTCTTTTCAGAAAATAGAAACAAAACTGAAGTACTTCAAAAAAGCATGATGACCTTTTTTGCTCTCATCCATATTGAAGGAAATACTTTAGTGTAATATTTTTTAAAAAAAGACAGCAATTATATTGAGCTGTAATTCACATACCATACAATTCACCCATTCAAGTTGTGCAATTAACTGATCTTTAGTATATTTACAGAGTTGTGCAGCCATCACCACAACCTATTTTAGGATATTTTCATCATTTCAAAAAGAAACTCTGTACCCATTTGCAGTCATTCCCCATTTTGCCCCAACCGTAGCCAACCGTTAATCCACTTTATGTTTATATATATAATATATACACACATATTTTTAATAATTTAAAAAAAAATGTTACTGTGATTTGGGTGAAAGTTTTTTTCTATAGATGTACCTATTCTAGAAATTTCATACAAATAGAATAGCACTCTATATAGTGTTTGTCATACAATATATATATTGTGACTGACTTTTTAACTTAGTTTAATGTTTCCAAGCTTCATTCATATTGCAGCATATATAAGCACTATGTTCTTCTTTGTTGCTAAATAATATTGCATTATATGGTGCAAAAACGGCAAGGAGGCCACATGTTCTGACCTCCTCTAACCCTACAAGAGGAAGACAGGATTACCAGCAGTAACCCAAGACCTATTCCTACAAGGCCAGACATGCTGCCTCCCTCCAGCCCTTTCTCCAACCGCTCCTCCTAAAGCACCCACCACCTCTCTCCTGGGTTTGATAATTCGCTTCAGTGGCCACACAGAGCTCACAGATTATGGGATTTATTAGGGAAGCACCAGGCTACAATTCAAGTTCCAGAAAAAATGCTCAGTCTGTCTCTCAGCCCAACATCCCTCAGCCAACAGTCTCTCACAGACTTTCCCAGCAGTGCTGGTCCCTTGGTGTCTCACTCAGTGATGTGTGTCTCTTGCGTCTCTTTCCCAGCAACACATGTCTCAGGAGCCCGTGTCTCTTTCAGCAGCACGTCTTCTTCAACCAGCAGTCAGAGAGAGCGTTCTGCCTCTAGGAGGCCTCCTTTTGAGCCTGGCAGGGTGGTCAAATTAGCCAATCATAGCATCAGAACTCTAAGCACCTGAGAGAGAGAGTAGGCACCTCCCAGAACATTGTTTTGTGCCACTCCCAACAGAAATACTCCAGGTGGACACCTTCAGCAATCAGGAGCTCCTCAGTTGCTCATAGCAAATCCCATCTTGGAGTTTACAAAGACTTATGGGTAGAAAAGCCACACAAAGTAATTTACTACACTGCATAAGGATATGCCACATTTATCCATTCATCAGTTGGTGGATATTAAGTCTGTTCCAATTTTTGGCCATTATGAATATGCTACTATAAATATTTGTGTATAATTTTTTATGGAATGTATGGTTTAATTCTTTGGGGTACATACCTAGGAGTAGAATTTCTGAGTTACATGGTAACTCTATTTCTTTTGAAGAATTGCCAGATTGTCTTCTCTTAGTATGAGTCTGTAAACTTACCTGTTTTATACAGATAGCAGTGCAGTAACATTTTCTCACTTATTCTTTCCTTCTCTTTTGCTGAAGTCTTTGGGTCTCTAATCAAAATATTTTCCTTAAACCAATTGTCAAAGCAATGAAGCTACATCCAGATCACATTAATAAAACAATAAAAATGCTTCATGAATGGCCCAGAAAAATCTAATAATGGGGAGAGGAGCATTGGAATGTTGTAAATGTTTATTATTACACCTGCTACTCTTTTTATAGAGCAGGAAAACTTTGTATCATTAAAGGAACATTGACTAAGCACCTACTGTGTGCCAGAACCATGCACTGAGTGCAAAAAGTGACACAAAGTTGAATGGGCTTGCCCCACAGAAGTGCCATGGGATATATAAAACCATGAGCTGGAGACAGAACTGCAGGAAAAGGGTGAATTAATTCTCTCATAGGAACAGAGGCAGATCAAAGGAGGTTATGCCCACACAGTTAAGAGCCTGAATTAGGTTTTGAATTTTGAATTTCTATTTGGGTCCATATTCTTACCATTCTTCCTGTCATGGAGTCTCACAGCCTTGGCATTCTTCCTCCATCAAATTTCCTATCTCCAGTAGGACCTGTTGATCCTACTTCCTCCTTTTCAAGGTCTCTTAAATTTAACTCTTATTTCCCACTCCTACTTCTATCATCCTGGCTCACATCATTACTAACTGCTTGGATTATTGCTCTCATTTCCTGATTTGCTTTCTCAGCTCTATTCTTTCCTTCCCTTGCCAGATTCTCCCAACAGGGTACTATTGTTATTGGCTAGGATAGTTCTTTGTTCTCCAATACTCTTGTACATTGCAGGGCATCTAGTATCCATAGCCTTCATCCATTGAATATAAATGGTATTCCTACAATCATTAAGACAAACAAAATGCCAAACACAATTCCAAAATCTCTGAGAAGCAGTAGTGACCTCAGGCCATACCCACACTACCCTAATGGTCTTTCCAAAATACAGCTTCTATTCCATTGTCACTTCTCTTTCTCACTTAAACTTTCAATGGCCCTGCAAGAAGGGTAAGAGAAAGTCTAAAATTTGATGCTATCTGTTGACACTCCTAGTTTCATCTCCCATTTCTGATGTACTCAAGTTTTATGTTCAAGTCAAGCTGGACTCCTTGCTGATTCCCAAATATTTTCTGCACTCCCTAGCCTTTCTAATTTCCCTATGTCAGACCCAGAATATAGAAGGTTTGTCTTCATTTCTCTGAGTCAACATGCCCTTTTAGATGTAATTGAGATGTTAATTCTACTATGAAAGCATCTCTGATTATGCTTTATTCCTCAGACAGAAGTGATCTCTCCTCATTCTGAAACCCATAGCCCTTGGTCACTTTGTGCCCCATCCCGTGCTTCTGTCATCATCTCCAGGAAGGCACCTTTGTGTTCCCTATGTCTCACTAGGTCTTCCCTGGGCACCCAGGCCCTGACTAGGACCTGCTATAAGGTGGATGCACAATAAATATTTCTTGAAATGAACTGAATTGGAGGTATAATAAATCCTTCTGCGCTGTCTTCATTAGTAATAAGTGAATTCTCACCTACTATAAATTTTTCAGAAAAGCGTCATGATAGGTTATAAATATTATACTTCTGCAGCAGAGTTTTAACACCAAATCTACCTACTGAAAGATGCATTTGTTCTTTCATTTTACATCATTAAATTGTTTTGCAGATAAGTTCACACATTCTCAACTATTTGTCATGAGTTTGATCAGTTTTTCCTGTAAATCTTAAAATTGACAGCCTAGCTGAAGAAATGAGAATTTATTTTTAATGTGTCCTCATAGTCAATCAGGGCTAATTGAGCTAACATGATTTTGAAATTAAATGAGATCCTCACCTTCCCTACTATTGTTCCGTCAACTTTTGTTAACACCACAGCAAAGGATAGTGGAGTCTTTGATATCTCAGTGATTTCATATCAGCATGTATCTTTACCTCTTGGATCATGCTTCTTGCTTTTTCTGCTCAAATTCCACCTAGTTTATACTAAGCATGGATGGCTCTTGTTCTAGAACAGACAAGATGGTCTGAGTCTTGTCTGACCATGCAGTGGCTCCTGCCTATTTCCCTCTTCCAGGCCTCTCAGAATTTATCAGAGCTTTCACTGAATGGGTAGTTTTTGCTCTGTTCTCACAATACTGACACAGTGAATGCCACGCTGATCTGCTGCCAGTATTCTGAAGATTATTTGTTCCTGAGGGTCTAGAAGCCTTTCTTATTTCTCATGTAAACCCTCAATTTCACCTCATCACCAGCAGCCTCAACACAGAGGTCCATTTAGGGTATATTGTTGAATGATCTAAGCTGTACCCTCCCAACTCTCCTAGGTCTTGGAATGTTATCCTTTTCAATAATTTGTTAAGCAGCTGTGACAGTTGTAGTTTAGACAGATTTTTACCTGCTACTGTGTGTGAAGGAATAATACAAACTATATAATGCTGTAAAATAGATTTTTAAATGTATTTGTGACAAACCTAAAAGTTCTCATTAGCCTAGGACTAATATGATCTTCCAATGTTATATGAAAATGGATTTGTGAAAACAATATATAGATATCGGTATTGATATCATGGGTTTATCGGCATTTTTTTTTTAAAATTTTGCCAGAGAGAGGCATTTATACAGTAAAGACAGTAAAGTATAGTGAATATAATTTTCCACTTTTAAAGTTGAAGAAAGACACAGCATCAGGATTAAAGAAAGATTCATTAGCAACCAGCAATATGCAGATGATGTTGCTTGCTGAAAGCAAAGAGGATTTGAAATACTTACTGATGAAGATCAAAGACTTCAGCCTTTAGTGTGGACTATACCTCAACAAAAAGAAAATAAAAATCCTGACAACTGGACCAATAAGCAACATCACGATAAACAGAGAAAAGGTTGAAAGTTCAAAGATTTCATTTTACTTGGATCCATAGTCAATACCCATGGAAGCAGCAGTCAAGAAACTAAATGACATATTGCATTGGGCAGATCTGCTGCAAAAGATCTTCAAAGTGTTAAACAGCATGGACTAAGTTGTGCCTGACTCAAGCCATGGTATTGTCAATTGCCTCATGTGGAAGCGAAAGCTGAATAATGAATAAGGAAGACTGAAGAATTGATGTCTTTGAATTATGGTGTTGGCAAAGAATGTTGAATATACCACGGCCTGCCAGAGGAATGAACAAATCTGTTTTAGAAGAAGTACAGTTGGATGCACCTTAGAAGTGAGAATAGCCAGACTTCGTCTCTTGTACTTTGGTCATGTTGTCAGGAGATACCAGTACCTGGAGAAGGACATTATGTT